TGAATTTTATTATTAAAAGACCACTAAGTACAAATTGCATGCTTCTTGCTTCCGGTTTATGTCATGCATGAATTGTATGTGCATGTAATCAAATAGATAGACGACGAAACACCGAATCGAAACATGATTGACAGTTAGAGGTTCGCTAATAAACTCTTCTGGCAGTATTAGCTATGACACGACTTCAGGAGTGGTTTATGACACAGATGAATTTTCACTGCAGCATCTAACTTTTTATTCAACTTTGATTCTACACTGGCAATAAAGTTATACTAGGGTTACCTTTGTATTCCTACCCGTAACAGGAAATTTTATCGTAGCGGTGTGTTATGATCTGTCTAATCATCACTTACATTCTATTCATTTAACAGTTTTACCTTCAGTAACGTACTGCAATCTGACTCCCTGCAATGACATGTGATGTCTGAGGTGGAAGGAATTGCTGCCCCCAACGATGGAAAGGTACCCTGTTCCTTGCAAGCTATTTGACTGACATAAATCGAGGCTCAGGTAACGTGACAAATTATTGATGTTGCTTTTCGCCATGACACCGTCGACAGATTGTGTCGTGAAAGGGGCTCTATTGGAGACAATTTATTATTAAGACAGCAGGGAATCTATCACGACGAGTTTAGTTAAATGCTCCCATATCCAACGATGACGCACTAAATTAACTCATTCTCTTTAGCCCAAAACAAGCCGATTAGTAGGAAATGTATTACTGATTTTGCATATTTATTCAACGTGAATTGATCGTTGCGTAGGGTGCACGTACCTTTAATATGTCAGCATCTACCTAGGCACATTAATAAGAGGTTGTTAGTTGAGTTATCGGTGACCAGTGAACTGGCATAATCAAATATATAGAATTTCCCCTAAGTGTAGTTCATTCAGAGCGAATCTAAAACTTTTTGGGACCATTATCTCCTGTCTGTAACAAAAATATACCATCATGTTGATTACTTTCGGTTGCTTATGACTCTCCTAATCACCATCACCCCAACTTCCAATTAGTGCGTGTTCCCCAGAATTTGATTGCAAGCCGACTCCTGTAATACATGTAAGGAGAGGAGGTGGAAATCGTTGCCACGAGCGACGGAAAAGTGCCTTGTTCATTGCAGACTTTTTAAGATAAGGCGATTGACTGACGCTTGACCTAACAGGCATGATTTGATGTTTAGAGAACGAGCATAGCAAGTGATTGCGTTTGTCGCCAGAAGGCACTTGCTAGTTTATCAGGATTGCCGTAAAAAATGAATGATTTTGGTAAAGGAATTATAGTCTGAAGAAGTATGTTCTATGGTGGATCGCTTCTAGTTTAAACACTATGTCCTTCTTGATTTAAACGTCGAGTGAGTCCTTATGTGGAACACTGTGTGGATTTTGTGATTACCAACTGCCAGGAATCTGCGTTTCTGTGACACCATTTTACAATGCTTCAGTTAAATGTCTCCCTAGTCCTCTGACTCACGTGCATAATCGGGCATACCAAGTTCACTTTAATCAATTTTGTTTGTCTAGAGGACTACACTCATGTGCTACACACAACGCAACACAATTAGCATGAGTTTGCACTTAGTATTTGCCGAATCAAGGTGTCCTAGCCACCTCAAAGATGAGCCAGCATGTAATTGGATGTTGGATGCTCCCCTAGTCACACCTGCCGTAGCAAGTGAACCCAAGCTGTTTAGACGGCAGCAGGTGGAGACGTGAGAGGTGAATAACCGTTTGTATTTTGTATATTCAATGGCGCAATTGATGTGCGGAACATTCACATCTTGTTTGTTAAATCTACTCTTCCTATGTAACGTTCTGTGTGGCCGCATTAATGAAAGCTAGACAGTAGGGGTCATTGGTAAATTCAGAACACCCCACAATCGTTGACCGGAGACACAAGGTGAGACCTCAAAGGCATCCACAGTTAACTGAGGGGTGGTGCGCTGCAACATTGTTTTGCATTTTTTTGATGCAAAAAATGGAATGGAACGCACAATTCACCTATCCTAAAACGTTTCGAATTTTAGATTGCTTCGACAGTATGCATACTGTCTGTCATCAAGTCATTTCGCAGGTTCAACCAGAATAGTACTTGCATTAAACACCTCAAGCCAAGGCGCGATCATGGCATTATTATCCGCAGTTCTTTGGTGACATTCAGAATGTGTGGAAATGAATTGGTGTCTACACGCTGCTTTGGCTGCCTCCACAACGCTGCTTCACAGATTACACAGGCTCATCATTTTCTCGTGGATGCTGCGACTTTAAAAATGGCCTTTACCGTTAAAAATCACCGTCTACGTGCTTCGATGTTGATGATTGTATTCCTGAAGGCATTCCAAGTCAACCTGCTAACAGCCAGAACACACGTGAGTGCAAATGAACGCGTGCGCAGCTGGAACCTCCTGCAGCACCAATTGTGTCATCAAAGGGCATCAAATTCTTAAAGTGAACAAGTCAACAGGCTGACCTGAAGAAATTAGGTTGAGCAGTAAAACGGGTATGTTGCTATGGCTATGTTCATTTTCTCAAATACACATGTTCTGCTATGCCTATTTCTATGTTGCAGGCCCTTCAACTTGCCGATTGAGAAATTAATGAGCAGCAAATCAGCTGTCATGCCATTGAAAGCGGCTGTCTACCAACGGATAATAGATGCGATGATGTACACAATGTTGTGGCTGAATTTAGTGTCCTGTCGCCGGAAGCCCAGGTCATTTCCTGCAGATTTAGTGAGAAGATCAAGCGGAGAGAAATGCATTCTTAAGCATTCTGAACATAGCATGGCAATTTGGACTATAAATTGTTGGGAATTCGCCATCTGGATTTTGTTCATCGCGATTATAACCGTTTGCTATTTTTCATTATCATTGTTATTGGCAAACATTGACTGCAGTATTTTCCCCCTTTGTATTGATTCATTCACTTTCAAATTTAGTATTGGTGTTAACTTTCATGGAAGACTGATGCAGCAAACGTTCTTTGCACTAGGACTTCTGTTGTCTTGAATTAACGTGGGCAGATGGTGGCGCATTTGTGCCATGTCTGAGTGCTAGTGCGCGAAGGTCATCTCGTGCTAACAAAAGGTTTGGATAATCTCCGCAGAGACTTGTGCGTGTGTGTACCGAGAAGCATAAGTTTATTTAAGCAAACACTGGCAACTGCTTTTTTGCACTACCGTTAGCTAGGAATAAAAGCGGGAATTTGCAAAAGCTCACTTCTCTTTTGTGTTCCTTATTCAGGTAATGTTGGGTGTTACTGTTCTGTAGCATCTTTCAGTATTTCCTTCGAGGTAATGCAGTGTTGGGCAGTTGGTGTCGTTCTTTGTGGAAATAAGGTGGGATTGAGGCCGAGGAGGAAGTGTTGAAGATGGTTCTTTTGAACTGTTCCAACACTGTCGAACGCCATTCCTCCCACATATAACCACGAGTACGTAGATGTGTATTTAGCTGTCACCAGAGCGATGACCCTAAATGATAATAGACAATTGTTTTTAAATGATCCAATTTGCATTGTAATGGTCAAGTTGAAAGCCATGACAAAACAGTCAGCGATAGCTGGTGTGTTTCGATCTACTGAATTAAATCAAGTAAGATGTCGCGTCTTGAGATGTAAGTGCTGCATTGCCACATCTGTATTGTAATTTGTGGACTAGGATTGAAGAGAAAGCACTGCAACAAACAGTTGCTAAGGATGTCTGCGGACTCATTTTTCGGTCTCAAACGCAGATCATGTGAACTGTCAAACCATAGAACTTTGTTGTTTAACCATAAAGCGTGATAAAATGGAGTACTGGGTATTTGTAAGGATATCCGTATCTCTACTTTCAAATATCTTTATCTATTTAAGAAGCACGTCTATGGAATTTGCCATCACAAATATGTTTAATATGCAGTGTACTAGACAACCTAAAACGCTTTCATTAACAATGGGTCGGCAGGCTTGCATGGTGAAGAAGAGGATGCAGCTGTAGTGGGAATAGATAAGATATTCTCGAATAAAGCTGCGCCTTTTTGCACAGTCGATTTTTCCTGAGGAAGGGAAACTGAGGTGCGGTGTTTCTGGGTTGTAAAATATGTCGCAAACCTGACTGTGATGGACTGCACGAAATTGAGGAATCCAGTAGTGTGGCATTGCGTCTAGATGATTTTGAGTGAAGTTTTTTAAGCATTGAAATTGAAATAGTTAATTGAAGAAGGATTTTTTAATCAATCAAAAGGGATTGAGGAATGTGGAAATGAGCCATCACTAGACCCAGAAATATAAAGAACCCGTCTGCAACTCGAATCACCCATTCTCTTTAAGAGGATGAGCCTAAACATTGTCGTTTATTTATTTTGAAACGTGCAGCACCTAAGCTGGTTTGTCTGTTTAGGACGTGCACAAATACAGATCACAGGAATCCAGTGTAGTCTACTCCACAGGCTTCTAAAAGAGGGTTGAATCCATCACTGAATCGGTTAGTAGTACCTTACGCGTTGGATGACCGAACATTTGCGTCAGACTTTCTCTTCACACTGGTCGCTGATTCCGTGGTTAATCAAATTCATTCATAACCAGCGCACTAAAATGCCATTTGATCCTTAGCCGTTGATGACACTGGACAACAACTGTACCGTGATGCAATAACCATGTCTGGTTGGTGTCCACTGATAAATTATTGGAATAAATATAATGGCTAAATTTGTGCTTAATATGGAGGAGCATTCATCATCTCTGTGGGCAAACTATTGAGATCCTGTAAATAGGCGCATCGTTGGCTTAATTAGGCTATACAATTAACTTAAACTTGATTTTAGACACATCCTCAGCAAATTGGCGGGTTATTTGCTGCGACGTTGTCAGCCTTTGCAACGTTACATTCTGCAAAATCGGGATATCAGAATTACACTTAAAAATTTCAAACTTAATACCGTTTTCCTTTTTGCTGTTTGTTTGATATTTTCTGTAAGTCAAGTAAAAACAACGGCGTTATGTGGCAAACGTACCTTGTCTGAGCTTGTCTAGTCCACGAAGAGCTCATCAAGCTTCTCTAGGACGCGCCTGGAGGTTGGCAGGTTGATTTCCATAAACATATCTACTATGAGCTTAAGCTCCTCGCTTTTATTGGCTTCACGGTTGATTTGCTGCTCCTTTATTTCCCAATCGGCTAGATTAAAGGCCTGCAACATAAAAGTAGACAGAGCGGATCGTCTCTATTCACTAACATGAATGTAGCCTTAGCAACATAACTAGACTTTACGACTGAATATGCTTGCGGAACCAGTAAAACTATCGTATTTCAGCTACATAAACCGGTTATATTTTTATGCTTACACCCATTTAATAACCCCTCTCTAAGTTGTTTATCAGATGCCCCGATTCTCATTCAAGGCGTTAACATTTGCCATGTAACAAAACAGGCAGGACAATATCGCAGCCTGCCACCCCTCAGTTAACTGTGGATGCGTTTGAGGTCTCACCTTGTGTCTCCGGTCAACGATTGTGGGGTGTTCTGAATTTACCAATGACCCCTACTGTTTAGCTCTCATGAATGTGGCAACACAAAACGTTACCTAGGAAGAGTATATTCAACAAACCAGATGTGAATATTCTGCACATCAATTGTGCCATTGATTCTACAAAATCCATCAAAAAATAGGCTAATTTGCGTCAAATCAACATGTTGCAAACGGTTATGGACCTCTCACGTCTCCAGCTGCTGCCGGCGAAAAAGCATAGGTTCACTTGCTGCAGCCGTGGTGACTACGGTATCATTCAACAGTAATACATCTCCTACCAATCGGCTTGTTTTAGACTAAAGAGAATATGTTAATTTGGTGCGTCATCGTTTGATGAGTGAGCATTTAACCAAACTCGTCGTGATAGATTCCCTGCTGTCTTAACAACAAATCGTCTCCAATAGAGCCGTCTCTAATAGGGGTGACAAGTGTTTGCCTATCTTGACTGACGAAATAGACCATAGCAGGCCAGGTTCGCAAGTCAAGCTAAAATACGATATTGTTTGAGAGGTTGGTTGCAGGCCTGCCCGAAAACCGCACTGCATTTTTCCCAATTCGTGGTCCAAATATTCATATTGGACGTTTAAAGACACCTATCCCAAAACACATCTTCACCTACAGGCCAACTGCAGATAAAGAAATTATATTTTTCGCAGGCACATGGATTATTCTGTCCGCTGTGTCATCGCGACCAGCACCATCAGTAATTTTTCAAAATATGTCCGTTAAATAGCTTCCACTAAACAGTGCACCTTTCCGTCGTTGGTGGCGGCAATTCCTCCCACCTCAGACATCACCTGTTAATGCAGGGAGTTGGATTGCAGTACGTTACAGGAGGGAAAACTGTCAATTGGAAAGTGGGTTAATGGTGATTACGAAGATCAGACCACACACTACCACGATAAAAGTTCCCGTTACCTAGGGAGTCCTAATATAATTTTATTGCCAGTGTAGAATCAAAGTTGAATAAAAAGTTAGATGCTGCAGTGAAACTTCATTTGTGCCATTAACCGCTCCTAAAATCGTCTTACCAACGTCAAAATTCATTTCATATTGCAGGTTAAAAGCTAGAGAAATTCTTCTTCATGTAATACGAATGTCTACATTGGTGTTGCCTATCAACGTACAAAATCGCTCAAAGGATCTGCAGTTATGCTATAATTCCTAGCTTTTTGCACACACATTTTCACTTTTTAAAAAGACTTGCGTAAGTTCAAAATATCAAAATAAATATTAACCAAAAAAATGCTACAGCATAGTGCACCCCCTCTAATTTTCTTTGTTCATGAGGCCGAGGATGTACTATGTTCATTACCGGACAAATCAAGCTATGCCTGGCTGACGTGTATGGACATCTTCTCCTCGCTTCACACCCCAGTTGGCCGACACTTGTGTTAACAACTGTTGTAATAACTTAAAGGACAAAAATAATTGAAACCAATTCAGTTGCAACACAGACGCCAGTGTTTGAACAATGTGTTCAATATCACATTGCTCACAAAGTAACTTACCTGAGTGGAGAGTTGATTGAACCCGTTGCAGGATGAGAGACGCATTATCGTGTGGGTGAATCGAAAATTGAGATGCCTTGTGGATATTCCTGAAAATGAAAGGTTGAGGGTTATGCTTAAATCAAGGTCTTTGCATCTGAAGTGGGAACAAATGGAAGTGCAGGCAGCAACAGGATAAACAGTACTCATTTAAAAAGATATGCATGATTTAAACCACATAACGCCGATGGTGTCACTTAACTTACAGGAAATATCCAACAAACTGCAAACAAATCCACTTACCAGCATTATTCCTGTGGCCAATCATTCATGCATACTTTGACGAATATTACTGAGATGAAGCACCTCAAGATGGTTGAACTCTAAACAGCGTTATGACGCGCACTGCTAATAAAATAGGAATGCTGGGACGAAAAAATCCCTGACAACGATCAGTCCGGACTCTCAGGCATCACAGTTAGTGCAAATGACCGACAATTGGACTCACAACATGGTGACAGTTCATCTCTTAATGACGACAACTACATGATTAGTTTTTAAACACCAGTCAAAGACTTTCATTTAGCGTTGTAAGGCAATCACCACAACGTCATCCTGGTGGTCAGTCCCAGTTTTCGACTATTTCGTTTTTACAGCCCGAGAGCAGAATGCACACTTCAGAAGTGTTATCCCGCCTTCGAATTTTAAGGCGTTCTGTCAGCCGTTTACTAGGTACTCTTTGTGACTGCCGTCAAGATATTTTGCAGCTTCAACTACAACAGGACAAGCAATTAACACCTCAAGGATGTAGGCCATCGTGGCTTTATTTAGCTACTGTCCTGTGCCACCATTCGAAACGTTTGAAAATAAAGCGGTGGCCGCACACTGCTTTAACTGCCTCCACAACGCTGCTTCACACATTACGCAGGCTCTTCATTTTCTCACGTGCCGCAATGCTGCAACTTGTGTTCGCGGACGCTTTCCTAATCAACTTACAAACTGCCATAACACGAGTTGGCGCAAATGAACGCGTGCAAATTTCATAAATGGGGCGAATTAACCACTCACCCAGGATTAGTCAAGTTCAGTACAGCTGCAACTCACCTTGGTCGACCGAATCCTTCTGCAGCGCCATCCGTGTCAACTAGGGGCAGCAAGTTCGTAAAGTGAACATGTCAACATGCTGACCTGAAGGAATGAGTTTGAACAGTAAAACAAAGGCATAACACTGCACACTCACTGAGGTCGACTGTCGCCTCTGCTACTAAATAGTATGGAAAACTAAACCCTTCGGTAATCATTGAGAAATTAATCAGTGACGAGTGTGCATTGGTCCGATCGGAGTTGAGTCGGTTCTCGTCGAATTGCCCCAACTTCGATTGATCGCAAATACTTTTCAGTCGACGACAGGCGACTTGGCGTCAAGTCACGTTTTTAGTCGTCGGTTCGTGGTAAAATATTGCATTTGACTTCTGATGGTTGCAGCATTGAAATCTTCAGTTAGTTGAAAATCACCACATCAACCATAAATTTCCCGATGTCGATGATATTTCAGGTTTCTTTAACTATGTCCAAATGCAACTTCAATATAACAAGTCTTTTTGTGTAGTAATTAGAAAATCTGATTAATCAAAGAGATGCAGATGCGGATGTGCATATCAATGGCCATGAAATTCGTGCCACAAACGCAGTCTGAAGCCGGTCAGGCTTTGGCGCACGTCTTGGTCCGTGAAACTAACCAGCACGAAGAAGTGCACCAAGAGAAACAGTCGTAAATTTAAATTTTATTTCAACTCGATGAATAGTAATACAAAAGCAACATTTGCAGGTCTCTAATTAACTAGCATTGAATACTTCACTTTAACATCTGCTCTGCAATTTTTATACAATTAAATTAATTAATTCTACTAACTGCACTTTTACAATATTGCAGAAGTGCAATCCTGCATAATTCATCTAAACTCCATCAAGTCTTTTTTGGGATTCCGCAGCATGGTATTTCCATTGTAGAACCATTTAAATAAAGGTTTTTTCTTGCCTTCATTGCATCTGACTTGTAAAATGTTGTGAAGACATCTTGACACTAATCGCTTTTTTACAAAAAAAGGAAATTCAATATTTTTTTTGCAAAATAACACCACCTTGCAGTACAACTTTCTGACCGTGCCTAACTATCGAAAGATATTTGCCCCTGCGCTCCTTTGTCCTGTTATTATTATGACAGGAACTGCATTACATGCACGTACACCTGGAGACGCGACATCTTACTTGACTCAATTCAGTAGATCGGGACGTGGCAACTATCGTCGACAGTTTTGCCATAGCTTTCAACTTGACCATTACAAGGCAAATTGGATCATTTAAAAAACAATTGCCTGTTATCATTTACGGTCATCGCTCTGGTGTCAACTAAAGACACATCTACGTACTCGTGGTTATATGTGTGAGGAATTGCGTTTAACAGTGTCGAAACTTTCCACAAGAACAATTTCCGCCTCGGCCTCAATACCATCTTACCCCCACTAAGAATGATATCGCCAGCTCAATTACTGAATTACCTTGTACCCCTACTCAAAGCTGTTAAAGAACAGTAACAAGAAGTGTGCTTCTGTAATTTCCTGCCTGCATTCCTAGACAGCGGTAATGCAAGGAAGCAGTTGCCAGTGTTTGCTTAACTAAAGTTATGCTTCTTGGTACACACATGCACAACGCTCGCAGCAGATTATCGAAACCTTTCGTTAGCACGTGATAACCTTCTTCTACTAGCACTCAGACATTTCACAAATGCACCACCATCTGGCCACGTTACTCCAAGACAATAGAATGTAGTAGCTTGATCTTAGCACTACCTTACAACCCTCTAATTAACAGGCCAAGACAACTCGAGTAGAATGGAGAAGAGGCGAGAGTGGACACGACTGGTTTATTGATGTCAAAACAACCAAGTGCTTTGCGTGCATAACAGACAAATGCTGACAAAGGCCAATAACAAAAGGCGTGAGTCGTTGGTCCACTCGGGCCCTCATGCACGCACACTCACGTGGGGTGGCTGTCAGTCTACCACGAGAAGTCCTAGTGCATAAAACGCATTCTGCATCAGTCTTTTATGAAAATTAATATCAATACTAAATTTGAAAGTGAATGAATCATAACAACGAGGGAAAAAATAATACCGTCAATGTCTGTCAATAACAATGTTAATGAAAAATAGTAAGCGGTTATGATCACAAGGAACAATATCCAGATGGCGAATTCCCCACAACTGATTGTGCAAATAGCCATCCGATGTTCAAAATGCTTAAGTATGCATCTCACAAGTCTCTTTATGCTATGCGTCCTGTTGTTTACCAAACCATGCAAGCCAATCAACGCAATGTCATGAGAGGTGGTTGGGTTACCTGGCTGATTGGGAGTTTGGCATTAAAAAAGAATTAGGGCTATTGCCACTAAGCAAAAGTGGAACTCAAGATATTTCGGCGACGTTTGAAGTCAGCGTCTCCAATCGCAACCTCTAAAAATCGAAGCTGTGTACAAATCGCTGCTTAAGTTCTATGACGAGTTTAGCGGGCGTGTTGGCGATAGTTTTTTTTCATTTATACATGTACTGATTACGCTTGCGTGCATGCGTGTGTGTTTGGTTATAATAAAAGCAAGTGAGATTGGCTTCCAGAACCTCTTATTACTGCCAACGTCATGTATGCGTTCATGAAAGACTATAAGAGCGGTGCATCATTTCTTGGTTACGCAAAAAATCGTATCTTGCACCTAGCGATTAATGTGTAGTTGGTGGGTGGAGCTGACGGGTTGAATCCAGAAATCTCCGCTTTTTAAATCTGAAGATTCATCTTGAGATTTAGTGTCCTCCAGCCACTGTTTTGGTATTCTTACTTGTGTGGCCGTGAACCACACCGCGGCCGCCATGTTGCATTCGCCTTATTAAGCTCCACTAGTACCAGAGGGTATCAAATAGGCCGAAGTAGGAGAGGTAACGCAAGTGTTTGGGAGATGGCGCCACCTAGTTGAGCTGTCGTGTGCTAGTATCAGTGTATTTGCAGGCTCGCATCGTTTGGGTAAGTAACTGGGTTTTAACTGACTGGCTGGCCGAATAAGTGAAGCGTCAACGGAGGAAAATGGGGTCGATTAGTTGGAATATTTGGCGTACGTCGTGAATGCACACAATTCACTAGACAACAAATTTTGCTATTTGACTTCATTCCTTCTACGACTACACTGTTTGCGTGAACACACGGAAAGTCGCATATTGATTTAAACATGCTTGGGCTACTCTTGCATTTTGAATCACCAAAATTATTAAATTAGCGACAATCGTGGTAGCTCGAATGAGGAAAATCAATCAACATAATACAAAAACAAAGTAGTCATAGTACATAGAGGTTCTACTGCATACTTTCTTAGACGTTCTGATGAGGCTTGTTGAACTCCTTTAGGACATATCGAAGAAGACGATGGCGTTTTACACGTGAATGGACACTATGCCTTCTACTTGAGAACTAAAATTAGTCGCATCGCTGTTCACAACTAACTTTGGCTATTTCTAGAATCACGCATTCCATCATTTACATAGGTCGAATTTACTAGACAAACTAATTCCTACAGGATGATGACTACATTCGGCCTTACCCATTTCGTGTACGGTTGCGTTGAATGGGGCATTCATCACTCTAAAGGTCACGAGTACTCGACAAAAGCATTACACGCGTGCAGTAATCTGATGAATGGCAGGCACGATTTCATCGAGCACAGCTCGCTCTGGCGAATCTTTTAACCCATGTCAACGTTACTCTTTGCTTAGGTGTCACGAGATTTGCCCTGTTGAATGCCTTCTGGGAATCACTTGTTCGCCTTTGTTAAATCTGTCTTCTAAGTAAACTCAAAAGTATTCATCGGAAAGAGTGAGATGGACAGACGGGCGGTTGCCATCTACAAATGCAATTTGAGCAGATTCCCACTTGTTTATTCCAAAGCCTTAGGAAGTCTTCTTCAGTTGTAAGCAGACGAACATCTGGATTTGTGACATGACTTTAAAATCAGAAGGTCAAAAATTTGGAAGCATTAGCAATTGAGCTTCAATACTGAATCACCCAGTGAAAGTGTCTATAAGTCAAAATATGCAGCGGCAACTCATTGGTCAAGATTGTGTTGTGAATCGTGTTTATTCACACAACTTAATCCGGTAGCTCCATCTGCGACTCAGGGTTCCTCTTTTCGACGCATGTCGCCAGCCGCGCGGATCCTCAACTCCCCCTCCATTCACATTGATATTTGGATTATCCTCACATCGGGGTCTTGATGCCAGCGCTTGTATGATTCACATATTCAAGGGGTAAATACACACGCGCTAAACCCACACACTACATGACGACACCAATGTAGCTAAGCTCTGAAGTAAACGGTTGTGTCGACGTCCCCTCCAATCTTCTTCTTCGTCGCGGTTATCAGGGAAGCGAAGACCTCAAGCATCGGTTGGAGGTCTGTGGTAGGCCTGCTCCCCACATTCGTAGACGTTCTGATGAGGCTGTTTGAACTACTTCAGGACATCTTGGAGGAGACTATGGGGGTTTCAACGCGAATAGACACTATGCCTTCTACTGGAGGACTGCAATTTAAAAAAAAAACAGGAAGAAGACTTTGCAAACGAACCCTACTGACAGCTTCGTCAAAATCGCATTCAACTGACATAAGTTCCCATTTTTAATGAGGACTTCTAGCATTTACGTGTCATGACCGTTGGTTAATGGTTAAAATTGGTTGTTAGGCAACCTTCGACAGCTGTCAGATGTAGTGGTTTAACTTTATTCGATTGGCAAGGATAGTGGCACCTCGTCGCTCTGATGAGCACGGTAGTTCGACCAATTCGATCTACTTAGAAGAAGCAAGTAAGAAAAGCATAGTGTAGTATTCAGTCATGCATATTACAACAAGAATGAAGCAAATGAACTACTCGCCCTTTTACAGAGCTCAAAAATCAGTTAACCTGACTGGAAGCACTCTTGTCCGTGGACGATTGGCACTATTGTGCGATGTTAAAAGACGCTAAAGTGATCCGCATGTTCCAGCAAGATGTCGGAAAAGTTATTGGTGAGGAAGGTGTCGTGTGACGCCCTATCGATGCTC